ACGATAAAGATCCCTCACTGCTCAATGGCCCTGAGTGCCGAGTAAAGGTCAAAATTTGAAGCCCTTCACCGGTATATGGTGACGTCTCTATATGAGTGAAAAATTCTCGAATGGGACGTAAAATAATATACAATCAATCAATCTCAGTCTATGTAATGGTTTTTGGAATGCTGAAGCTCTTACATGTAGCACAATTTATAAGAAAAATACAAAAGAATTGATTATATATTAGCTTAAAAAAACTTCTTAAATTTCAGAGTCTAAATAATATGAAATATTTCATTGATATTTTTTCTGTTCATGTATACATGGGTGGAGCAAATGTCAATCAAAATTCTGCAGAGATACCTCTTTCAGACTTCTGGGTGTCACCATCAAACGCGGAGGAGAAGATCAACTTTAAGGTGACCGCAGCATCGGTAAGGATCGAAAAACAATTTTATTTATGAGGTCACTTGAGGCACCTTAGTGATGTTTTGTTATTTGTTTTAGTCCCTCATTACATAAGAAAGAGAATCATCAGTGATTCTTTAATATTTTTAAATTGAGGTCATTCGGGTTAGTCAGTTGACCCATTGCTATTTCTTTTCATCAGTTGTCTTGCATCGTCACTTGTATGTTAACTACTGAACCAAGATCAACGAATTTTGGCATAGTAAAAGTGCATTGTTTCTTAGATATCCTCTACTCTGGTCCTGTGATAGAGGAAACAATGTATATAGTTATAATGAGTAAGAATGCCTCTTCTGAAATTGTGAATTTCATGGCCCCTGGGTCAGGGGTTCTAGTGTAAGGGCAGGGCATTATCGACTATATAGATTGTATTCTACTGACAGAAATTATTCCTCTTTGCTTTTCATCTGTCATAATAAATCATTGTAATTAATGTGATTGAAAGGTTAGTTGAATAACAGAATTGTACAAGAATTTTCATAATATTTGATTCGAAAAGTACTTTGATAGCGTTCAATTTTTAGGTAGAGGTATAAATAATAGATTAATTAAAAAATAGGACAAAATACCTTATCTTTGTATATTAAATGTTCTTCAAATTTTAAGAAAGGCCACTTTGAGAGGGATTGAGATGGGTTTATTAACAGTCCTCAAGAATGATGTTTTGTTTAGTCTTCATTGGGATAGTAACAAATGAGGCCAAGTAAATACATCAACTCAAAGATTTGTTTCTGAGCTCTGGATTCATTATTTTGCTATAGTAATCTCTGATCATCCTATTTCTCTTTCTTTTTGGCAACCTAGCTTCATTTATCAGCTTATTTTGTTTTATTAATATATATACCGATATTCAATCTATAGATCCATTGGAGTGTTACATTATACTCAAGTGACCGCTAATGCCCTGTGATATCTTGTTCCAACTTTTTCTTTGTAATGAATAAGACACTGAAAGCTGGGGACCACAGTTCTTTGAATTTGCTTGTTACAATGAGTTCTTATTCCTTGAATATGTTGAACTTATTATTTAATTGTATAATAAGTAACAAAAATGATTAAGTCATATATTATTGTTCATTGCTTTACAGAGAACTTTTGCAGATGGACAAAAGTTGTTAAAAAAATCCATCTTCCACAGCCATAGACTTCTAGCGTGCGTTCAAAAAGAACATAGATGCAATGGTAGGTACGCAGGTGAGTTAAGGCTTGTAATTAACAGTTATTAACAGCTATTAACTAAGGCTAGGTATAGGCATTTATATGCAAATAAACTAATTAATGTCTAAGGAATATATCTATTATACAAAGAAAGTTAAAACATTGTCTAATACATACTTGGTACCCACGACATGAGATAGCCAGTACACATTATGACGTCATTGTTCTTTACTACACAAGATTATAATGGACATCATTAAAATGCTTCGGCGCAAGGGCATGCCCTATTTTAGTTAACTGAAATACGGTTGTATTTAGAAGCAAAATATTCCAAAGATTGCTGGTATTGCTGCACAAATATCAACAGCTCAGTTGTATACTTTCTATTTGTAAATTTTTAAGTTCAGGGTAAAAATGTACAGTCTGGTATAAGTTTCCTCAAATTCTGATCAATTGAGAAATGCTTAGTATTTGTGCAGCAGCTTTATTAATCTATAGAATATTCTTCTTAGCTTTATATACTTTTTATGTAAAATTAATTAGAGTAATCCCTTGCGCCGAAGCCGTTTTGTTGATGTGTTTTATTACCTCCAGTAGGTAACAAGGAGATCATAATATATAAAGTCATAATGTGTATTGGCTTTAACCCTTTCGACGCCAAAGCGACATAAAGGTCGTTTACTGTGTCAATGCCAAACAGACAAAAATGTCGTTTTTCAATAATTGTTTTAATTATTCTTTTATATATATAAACCTTACCCGTAATTAAACACAATAAACACAAACACAATAATATCCATATATTGACACAAGAATAGGTCTTTATTTTTACATAGGCTCTGGTCTAAATTTGACGTTATATTTCTTACGTTGACGTTAAATTATGACGTCAGGTTAAGAGTACGCTTGCACTGTATTTAAAGTATGGCGCACTGTCTGTTAGCATTTTTATGGTCCATTGTTGCCGGAAATTTCCCGGTGATACATACATTTTTTTCAGAGAGAGAGAGAAAGCTCTATAAGTGACTCTGTATTCTGAATAACACCTTATAAAATGTTTTAACTTTTTAAATTTTAATCCCAAGTTAATCATATTGATTTACTCGATTAGACAGGCTCAGGGACTAAAGCGTCGATTTCCAAATGAGTGTTGGGAGGGGGGGGGGGCATTTTGAGATAATTGACATGCAAAAAAATCTCCGAATAAAAAGGCAACCTCTAAAAGTTCAAACTGAAAAAGAGACCCCATCGTTGTTTGGATATTAATACTGGTAACATGGGATGTTTGAACCTACAAAGGAGGGGAATTTTTTTTATTCCGGAGGGGGGTCTTAGAAATAAACAGAAAGTTTTTGAGTTTGACAGCCCCCCTTTCCTTGTTTTTGTTTGTCATCCGTTTTTCAGTGAAGAAGAAATAAGATAAAATCTCTTGTCATCCTTGAAATAAATGTACAGTGTATTATGTATTTTGAAGGCCTGGACAGAAATAAATTTACCTCCCCCCTTTTAGAATCAAATGGCCTTCCCCTGATCTTATGAAAGAATATATCTATCTCTTCCATATCTATAACGTTTGTGTGTCTCTAAAAATATTGGATTGAAAATACTGATCTACATCATTTTCAAACTATTCGGGAATTGAAACTATTAGTCTTTTGGATCATACATTAATGCTTTGCCTAGGAAAACAGCTTAAGTGGATTAAAAATCAACTTCAAACTTCAATCCATTCTTTTCTCAGACGTCCGTGTCGAATTGTACCCGCCCATATCATTTTCGATCATCAAATATTTTGTCTGAAACAGATGGAAATGATGTAAGCTGTATATTTCAATTCGTGCCAGTTAATGGCCAGCGGTCTTAGGAATCTATTTTACATAAAGCAATTTCCCTAATGTTTTCATTTGAGAGTTTCGGCCCCTTTAAGAAATGATGTATGATTGTTGTGTCCAAGTGATAAGCGTCAAGAGCACAGGTTTAAAAAAAAAGACCGCTTCTTGATAAAACCTGATTTACTTGGGAAAACCAAAGAAATTGACTAATAGTTTCAATTTTCATGTATGGAGTAAACCTTCACAAATCATTATGAGCCTCTTTTTTATGTTTGTATTCCATACCTGAGAAACTGAACTATATGAACAATAAAAACTTATTTAAAAATATTTTATCAACGTATTCAAAAATATTAATTAAAAAAAAATCCGCTCGGAAGCAGAAAACAGATTTTTTTTTATTTATTTATGACTTTATGAACGGGGTAAACTTAAAAAAAAAACAAACAACCAAACAAAAAAAAAACAAAAAAAAACCAACCAACCAAACAAACAAACAAAAACAATCAAAAGCAAAAAAGAAAAACATTTTACACATCATGAATTCATCTGAATTAATTTCCCGTTAGCATTCATCGGTGATACAGAAAATGCTTAGGGTATTATCTTCTCTTAATAAAGTTAAAGGGGGGAAAGTAACGCGCTTGTGGGTGTGGGTTGTGGAGTGAATGCGTGCTTTTAACTGAAAGTAATAATTTTTTATATCGGGATTGATTTGCTCTTTGCGAGGGGATGACCCGCTTCACGCCCGTTGCCCTTGTTTGGGTTGGATTTCTTCTTTCTCTATGGGGCATGTGCGTATTTTTTTTTTTTTGGGGGGGGGGGTTCAAATGCTTTATATACTTTACTAATTGAGCTTAATTAAATATAAAAAGAATACCTTGTGTGGAACTGTATTATTTTTTCGACTGAATATAAACCGTTCCTATGTCTTAGATGTCTAGACCCACTCCCCCATGAACATGCATCTGGATGTGAAGAGTATGAAATTCTGTTACGGAGATCACACTTTGTAAGAACAGTACATCAAGACTAAGCTAAGAAAAATGTCTTGGATAATTTTCGACATAATCAATCTTTAGTGGTAATGGACTGGGGTTTTTTTTGCCCGTTAAAGACAGAGAATTGCAAAGTGATTTCTTTGGGAAAAAAGGTACAAGTTGGCATCTTTCATCACTCAATACTCGTGCTGCCTATCCAGCTCTTAATGTTAATACTTCCATTCTCATTTTAAAACACCCGGGAATCAAGGATGGTTTTCAGTATACAGTTAAAGTATATCATTGAGGAAGTCAGCAAGATTCTAGTTCCCCAAAAGCAAGTGTATTTCCCGAGGCGCAGCTGAGGGATCATCCTTTGTTTAGCTTACGTTATAAGTGTGAGCGCACTACTTGATAGCATTTTAGTTTTCAGTGGAGTCTGAATGGGATAGATAATTATATTGATTAACTTTCCATATATTCTGATATTATTTAAAGTCTTAGAATTTAAGATTTTAACTTTCAAGTTTTTAATACTTTTCAAATTCTTGTTTTACAATTTTGTCACGTTTATCAGATGGATTAACTGTTCCTGAGGAGGAAATGGAGTCCCTCTTTGAGGAGGAAACCATCCACACTGAGTGGCCATCTGATGAAGGCATTTGTCCCATCCAAAACTGCCCTTAGAAGGACCATGTGTTTAGCAAAATTGGATCCTACCGGGCGCATTATTTGAAAGATCATAAGGCTCAGGTCCCAGTATATCACTGCTTTTTCTCCTGATGTTCATTCTTTTCTTTTGAAATGAACATGCTCAGACGACACATGATGACCAAACATTCTGGATTACAAGTATGTTGCCTATCCAAAGTTATAGAAAATCCTCGTTTTGTTAATCCAGGAAAGATTCGTATGCCTGTGCCCACTATTCATCGGGAAGCGCGGGATTTTGCTGCCAAGGCTCGACGTCGTGCTGTAAAACCACTCTTTCGCCTCGAGACCTGGAATCCACGTGATCAGAAACCAGAGTTTTATTAACTTTATAAATGTAACATATCATGTTAGATTGTTCTGAAAACAAAAAATCATTTTACATTTTGTTTTCCAAGGGGGGAGGAGTGTAGTGGTTTTGGTTTTCATTTCTATAGTCCTGGTCTCGTAAATTAAATTTAAAGTATTTGCTGATATTTCAGTCTGATAATTCTATTTACCTTATGTTTTTAGTTGTTACTTACGTAAAAACTCCTTTATTATTTGTCTTTTATAAGTTAGGTCATGTGTTGACATTCCACATGTTTTACTTTTTAAACAGGAAGTGTCATCCATGTTGGCAGTCTTTCCGTAGTACTTTTGATAGCTGTGTTCTGATTGGTTAAGTTAGCTATATGATCTTTGATATTTATTGGCTTTTATTATTGGGCCTATGCTAGGGTATTTAAAGCCGTGTTCGAATAGTTTACTTCACTTGGGTTGGAGAACAGACCTAATAGTTAGTTCCTCTTTACAGTGCTAATACAACATCCTGCTTTAAATGCACTTATTTGTTTAGTACCCTTTGGTTGTGCTAATAAAATCATATGATTTAACAGCACTCTAGGTCTTGGCTAGCTTTAATTTCATGTTTTTCATCAGTTCTAGGTTTGTGTTAGGAAAAAGTTAGGATGTAGGTTTAATAGAGTAAATTTATTTTCCCCGTTTCAAGTCCAGCCTGGTCTAGGGATTTGTAGATAACAGGTATAATTTCTAGAACCACTATTCAGTGTTTTTAAGTGTTGTTATTTTCTTTATTTTGAATAAGTTCATTTTGATTTATCATATTTTTTAAATATTTATATTTATACAATATGTCTATTTTAAAAGAGCACATTGTCCTCTGACGGCTTTAAGAAACTTATATGATAATGATTATTACTAATTAAATGAAAACATCAGACGAAAATTTTAACGATACCCCCAAGCTAACACATACTTTTGATACTTCAAAATGACGATTAATTAGAACATGCACGCATTACGTATATTTTGTCGTTGTTTTTTTTATTTTTTGTTAAAAATTGGCGTGCCGTATCCGAGCTCCGAAGCAGCTTCAAAGTGATGAAGAATTAAAGCATGCAAGCTCTGAAAATTACATATATTTAGTTTTATGTGTGATGAAAATGTAAACAAATGTGTGCATTTAGTGAAGATATATCAAAAAAGTCCAGTACCGACATTAGATATTAGTGTTTAAATTATTTGTGTTGTGTTTTATTTTCAATAAAATTGAGAAATTTTATTTTCAGTTGTTTGTTTTAACTTTCTAAGAACATTTTCAAATTCAAATATCTATATAAAATATTTAATATTTGTTAGTTTCTTAAACTGGGGTTGTTTAAATGGGGTCGAGCTGTCCTGAATTGGGGGCGAGTTGTCCAGCATTCCAAGTGGAGAGTGGTGCATGTTACCAATGTCAAAGTTGTACTTTACCGAACCTCTAATATGTTGATTGAATGTGTTCAAAATCTTCGCCCTTGTAAATATGTACATAAATTAATTATTTTCCTTTTCTTTTAATTACCAGTTATATTGTAATCGTCATTCATTTCTATTGAATGTGACTCATTGTGAAATTTTTAGAATGAAAACAGTGAAATTTTATCGTGGCAACTGAAGAAACAGCCATCACTAAACAACCAACCTATGACAACTACTGCACCTCTTACAACTACTACACCTCTAAAAGGTGAATATGAAAAAATGTTTCAAACATTCCAAGCCATGGGATTGAATCCAAAAGGTGACACACCAGAGGAACTGGACAATTGGATACAAAGTTACATTAACTCTAAGGATACAAAGCCTAGCCATCAACTACAACCACTTACTTTACCGGACACTGGAGCTATATCGAAGACAACGGTAACATTATCTTCAGATTCCCCTAAAATAATAACTTTTTCTTGAGGAGATAACAAATCAGAAATTTCCTATCATGTATGGAGATATGAAGTGAATAGGACACTTAAGGATCCAACATACACTAAAGAGCAAAAGGACTTCGCAATCAGAAGATCACTGACTGGCTCAGCAGCACGAATGGTTATATACCAAGGACTGGAAAAGCCGATAGATAGTATTCTGGAGACTCTTAGATAGTGTTTACGTTGGTGTTCAAAGCAAAGAACAATTATTAGCTGATTTTTATGGAGCTAGACAGAAGGAAGAAAAAGATATTAGAGCATGGAGCTATGGGCCATCTTAGAGATTTAGAAAATAAACATTATTCGGTATGAGTGATAGATCATTAATTAATTGCAGAATGTAAATTAGATATTTATTCTTATTGTAAAGTTTAGTTTATCTAGCTTTGTTAATTATATACGTATATCTTATAATAAATTTTTTAGGGGTAAATATGATAGCTTAGGATGGTTGGTGGGTGGTTTTTAGCTATTGTATAAATTATGTGCCATGTTAGAAGATGTGCCGTCCATGAAATTTTATTTTTGTAAATACTTATTTACGTAAAAGTTGCTGACAGTTACCGGTATATGCAACATTTGAATAAGGCATTTGATGTGTTCGTTATTTATTTTCCGTGAGATCACTGATAAGGGGTAATCAATTGTTTTATTATACCGATACAAGTTAGGAAATTTTTGTAGGCTTAAGGATACACCAAAGGCTTTTTTCAAGATTTTTAACAATTTTGAGATTTTCGGCCAAGAAAAAGAAGTTAATCACTGCTTTATGATGCATGTAAAATTCTTGGTAATTATGAAATGGTTTTCAAATTATTTAACAATAATGAAACATAAACACTACCACATGTGAATGTTCCGTTATTGAAGCTTCTGATTTGATCTGTGACTGCCTGCTCATGAAAGACGCAATAAATCACTGTGACCACTTGGGGAATTCTTCACTAGCCAAACAGAGGTTATCAGTAATTAAACTACAGGGACTCTAGATTTAGAGAAAGAGATCTAACAGATCACTGATGACCATAAAATAGGAGGTGGAGCTTAGCTCTTGCCATTTTGCCGGGAAATCTTTCTGATTCAGAATTGAACCTATTTTACTTAATTAAAAGCATCTAAATACAGAAAAGAACCTCCCATTCTTGTGAATATGCATAGGAAATATGGCTAAGTGACAGGTATCCAAAGCTGAATCTCCAAGGTGTCATATATTCCTAGCTTTGGCAGATTTTGTTGTGTAATGGGTTTTTGCCCTCTACTGTAAAGTAAGATCAGACAGTTTGTGGTATTATTTCAAAGGATTCAGCTCCCTTATTTATGGACCAATTTCTCTGAAAATTGGATGGGTTGCTTCTCAAATGTGTGTTCACAAAACCGTATCTCAGATTTTTGATATCTAGCTTAGTTTTGGAATTATTGAGGGAAATGTTAAATTAGGCTAATAAATTGGTAACATTGAAGGACAAATGGCTGTAACTTTTGAATTAGAAGATTTATCAAAAATCTGAGATACGGTTTTTAAGTTCAATCTTTAGTCTACCTTGAGGTAAAATGACCACTTTGAGGGGTTAAATACAAAAAAGTTGATTTATAAAATATTCAAGCACTAAAATTTACATTAATATTTAAATAATTTTTGAATAAGTTATTAATTAAAGTTTAAATTAGGATAATTAAATAGTAAATTTAACAAGCTTTCAAATGATATATACTTTTATTATGTTATCTTTGATAATGAAAGAATTACATGCCAATTGAATTCTGGCATTTGGAAACCTTTGGTGTATCCTTAATTACTAAAATAATCAATTGTGTATTAGACCTACGAACTGTTATTAGTGTTCCATCGCGATCGGGATTCGCTAGTGAAGTTCTTTACTTTTCGTCTGCAAGTCTTGTAAGTTTTTGCACCGCCGATTTATTAAAACACTCTGTGATTGTTAGTAACATGCAACTGACATGCAAAAGTAACATGCAACAGATCTGGTTTGTGTTAAAGTCCATATTGGTGTAGACCAATTAATTAGAGAAAGATTTTCTGTTGCAAACTGAAAGCGAGTCCGCCAACAAGCCATGGCGAAGAAAAAAGGTTCGTCACTTGTCACCAGTTACATTTCAGGTTTTCCATTTATACATTGCTTTTTTTAAAACTCTATTCTTAAAAACTCTGTACAATTACAACTGAACTGAACCAGAAACATTGTACGCAGAATTAAAAAAAAAAAGAACTAGCTAGATCCTGCAAATGGGGAAGATGTTAAAAAAATCACTATGAGCAGTGCAAAGAACTTGGCAGTCTTGTGAATAGCATCACATGTGGTTGTTATAGCTCTGCAATACTTATACATGAAAGATTTCAATAAAGAGCCTGTACGTCACCTTTAAAGATTTGCTTGCCAATGAACTAAGTGATGCAGAGAAGCAGCTAGTCATATGTGGTGTAATTAGGAATTTTGTACAAAAATATATCTTAAAAGATTCCATACAAATAATTCAGAATTCCACTAGGAACACAGAACCTCGGACATGTGTGGAAATTTTTATTACCAGCTCAGACGTAAATCCTACGAGGATACTGATACCTGTTGTTGAGCAGCAACGACCTGCTTTAGTGGAATCTTACTTATCTCGAATGTTAGAACTTGGTCTTGCTTTTGCATTGCTACAGATCTACAGATGAATTATATAGATAGACCTGTAAAAGACAATATAAAGGCAATCCATTCA